CCTCCCATCTAGCCCAACACCATGGCAGCAATCATGTGACTAACCCACCCATTTGCCTGCTGTCCATCACCTGACATCAGTACCCTTCATGATGATGTGAAACAGACCACTACCCAATCACCTTGATGACCTTCCCCTCACCAAAGGAAAAGGTTAAAAGGATTCAACCTCGGAAGGCTGAGGTGGAAGGATCACCGGAGCCCAGCAGGTCGAGGCTGCGGTGACAGAGTGAGACTCCAACCCCCCCCCCAAAAAAAAGGATTCAACCGCAACCTCAACCGGTTTGCTAATGCCTTGCTCAGCTATGGTGTGGTCATCTGCCCTTTGAGCTGTGGTTGGGCCATGTTTCCTGGCTTTGGCCCTCTCCCCTATCTTGAAGAGGTGTATCTCCTCTTTCTCATTATCTCTCTTTCTCTCTCCAATTTATTTTCTAAATAAGCTATATTTCCTAACCTACCTTCTGTGCAATTCTTTGCATCTTTCGTGCATCATTGGATCTCAGACCAGACAACCCACACCCCCAGTGGGCCTGACCTCACATTCTGGAGGCCTCTCTGGGTTTGTGACATTTTTGGAGGCCTCAGTGAGATCTAATAAATCTCTGATGAAAGGCTGAAATGAAGCAGGTGCAGATGGCAGGAGATGGACATTTCTCCCAGTACTTAGTTCCTGTGGTTATGAAAGGTTGAATATTCCTCGTGGCTTCACAGAATCTCCCTCTACCTCTCTCCCTCCCTCCTTTCTTTCTCTCACTCCCTGTCTCTCTCTCTCTCTTCTCCTGTTCTCTCTCCGTCCCTCCCCCTCCCTTCCCTCCCTCCTCTCCCCCTCCGTGTGTGTATGTGTGTGTGACACACACACACACACACACACACACACACAGTCACTGCCTATCTCTCTGGGATTCTGTAATATTTTCCCTCTCGGTGTCTCAGCCTGTAATCCCACACCTTGGGGGTCTGAGGTGAGTGGATGGCCTGAGCCTGCGGGTTCGAGACCTGCCTGGGCAGCGAGACCTCATCTCTACAATAAATCAAAAAATCAGCCGGGCGTGGTAGCGCATGCCTGTAATTCCGGCTACTCGGAAGGCTGAGGCGGAAGGATCGCCGGAGCCCACCAGCTCGAGGCTGCGGTGGCCGGGAGCGGCCACTGCACTCCAGTCTGGGCGACAGAGTGTGACTCCGACTCAAAAAATATATATATATTTTCCTATTAATTGGGTACCGACTGGATTCAAGCCCCAGCGTAACTGTCTCTCTCGGTCTTTGAGAGCTGTGGAAGAAAATGACAGCAAGGCTTTGATTCTTAAGCGGGAATCTGCTAACCAGTCACCAGATGGGGCTGTTCCCCGAAGGTCTGCCTGCACGCAGCATTCTCAAAACCTTTCCCTCTCTGTCTCATTTCTCCACATTCCCCTTTAACCAGTGGTGCTGTCAGCCCTGTTGAGTGAGTAGCTGCAGTGTTCTTGCGAGTTGAAGGGAAGGTGAGGAAACCACTGCCTGGCTCTCCCACCTCTGTGACCCCTCACAGGGCCCTCAGGTCACCTCCCCCACCACCACCCTCCCCCAGGGCTGATGAACATTAGTGGAAGAGGCGGCCTCCCCGCTGTCTCCCACCCCCACTTCAGAATGACTCAGCAGAGGAGGTGGGTTGGGGCAGAGAGGGCGGGACAGCCTGGCTTGAGTCCAAGCCTAGCCAGGTAGTTGTGTGACTTGTTGGCCACAACAGATGCTTTCTCGCTATCTCGTTCCTCATCCTCCAGCAGGGCCTTAAGGGCAATCTGACCTCCATCACGGGGCTGTGGTGAGGATCGCCCCAGAGGGCTCTGGTCTGAAGGATAACTGATGGAGACATGGTGGTTGGAGCTCTCTGAAACCGCATTTCCCTTCTCTTTTTCCAAGAAGGATCAAAGAACGGTGGAAAAAGCTTCCTGCAGACTCTTCCTCTCCTTTTTGTTTGACCCTCACCCAAGGGCTGGATTGGGTGGGAGAGGGCGTGGTGCAGAGGGGTGGGCTTCCTAGGACTGGGGTGGGAAAGACCATAGCTGTGAGTGTGCACAGGGAAGCGGCCCTAGCCCTGATGTCTGGCCTCCACAGGGTTTCTGGGCTCAGGGGAGAAGCAGGACACTAGAGTGCTCAAAGTAGGAAGGACCAAAGAACCACAGCGGCCTCCATGAATGCACAGGCAGCCAAGGGCCTGCAGAGGCCTCTGGGAGCCAGACCCAAGCATGGGTGATGTTGAATTTCCGGCCGCTCAGCAGAATGGAGGGTAGTTTGAAGTAAAACCTAACCGTTTTAAAGAAATACCTGTGACATGTTTAGTATACCCAAGCTTGTGGAGTGAGAACTCAGGCGCCTAATATACATGTGAGCTCCTGGGTTGTTTCACACCCACTCATTTCTGGTAGCAGCGATGTAGAAATTTAGGCTTTCGGGTGTCCCTTCACCTCGCTATCCCCCATCACACGTAAGGACACCAGAAATCCCTCAGCCTATATGTTTCACCCCCATCTTGCCAGGCCACATCATACATAAGGACACCAGAGGTCTCTCAGCCTAAACATTTCTTGGTGGCCCAAGCACAGGTGGGGGTCCAAGCACAGGTGGGTCACCCCAGACCCACACAGAGTTTCAGGGCCACGACATCAGCCTCAGGAGAGGGACCGGTAACAGGGCCATTCTTGGGGTCCCCTTCAGACTCAGAGACAATAGACTGTGGGGCTAGGTGGAGGGTATTGGGGATTTGCATGTACAACATCCTCTTACACTTAAAAAAGACTGTTAAGCTTCACTCTAGAAGTAAGATGAAAGTGACATCATTATACTTCCTGCAGGGAGCTGAAAGATTTTCTGGGGAGCAGTAGCATTGGTTGTGACCAAGGGATCAATTATGATTCTGATGTTCATTCTGTTTTGTGTAGGGACTTAGCTGTGTCTGGCTCCACTTCTGGATATAAACTCAAGGACAGTGATGAGGCCTCCTGCGCCTCGGCCCTCTGTCAGCTCCCTGCAGAATTCACTTGAAGGAACAAGCAGTGCCTGGGGCCTGCTTGGAGTGAGGCGGGGAGAAAGCCACATTTCTTCTCATCCCTGTGGCGATGGGCCCCAGGGAGCCGTGTCAGTGGCACCTTCATCATTCAGGAGGAACAGGTTCTGTTTGCTCCCTGACAGAAGTATATGACGGCACAAACTCATGACCAAGTTTCATCAGTGGCAAAATTATAATATATTAATAGCAATATCATAATAGAATAAAGTTTGGGAGGGAAACCAATCTTCCAGAATCTGAAGGTTGGCATTCATTGTTCATGAACTCTACTGAAGGTAGTGCCTTCGGAATTGGGTTAAGTTGCAGCAAGAAAAACCAGGGTTAGTTGCAGAGAATCACCTTCCAAGCAGAACCATTGCAGATGCGAAACTGGCCCTGAGGTTGCGTGGAGCCTTCCTTCCTGAGATCCTTGAAAGTGAGGTGGCATTGAAGATGAGGCTCGCTGTAACAGTGGTTTCCACAAAGACTGTAGCGGTTCAGCCATTGACACATTTTTTGGCTTATCGCCATATGAAGCCTTTTCAAAGGTGGCTTCTAGTATGCTTCTGGAGGACATCCTCCAAGAAGAGTGGCACTCAAGGATCACACATGGCAATGACCAAGGTCCGGCTCCCCTGAGGACACGGCGGGCCAAGTCTCTGTCTGGCAAAGGGCCAAGTGCAGAGTCAGTCTGGTGGGGTCATGGGTGGCACAGATGGTCAGGTCAGGACCCTTCCTGACAATCTGCGGGTTCTTGCTGTGCCCGACCCTACCTCCCCTCCTGCCCCACCCCCTCCCACACCGCCCATGAGCACCCTCTGAGAAGAGGCTGTGATGTGAACGGAGGGAGGTGAGGAGAGGCCTCGGAAGCTTGATGGAGAGCCGGGTACTAGTGCTCCTGCCGTCCAACACAAAGGCTACTTGATGAAAGTCCCCTTTGTCGCCTTCTATTTCTGAACCTCTATCACATCACAGCGGGGTCTCTGGCCCCAGGCACCTGCCTCTCTGGAGGCAGTGAGAAGAGGCTGAGACAACGGTGATGCATACAAACATGTTGGAAACCAGGAAAGGCAACCTTGCTGGCCTCTGTCCCGGGGGCTGCAGCTTGCCATCCAGCTCGGCGACGGTTGACATCCCGCTTGCTGCATCTCACTGCCTCTCCTTACTCCTTGGTACCTGGGCTGAAGTCCAGACAGGGGAATCCACATGAAGCCACCTCATCTGCTCCCAGGAGATGCGGGGAGGGCCCTCCCTGCCCAGCCCTCAGAGATGAGAGGTCCGTCCCCACATTGTGGGGGCTGGAGTCTAGGCTTCAGCACCATGTCACGGGCCCTCCTCGAGTCTTCGTGATGCTGTGGCATTTTGGGTTTGAGACGTACCTCCGGAAAGACAGAGATAAACACGTGCAGACCCAAGAACGCATGGACAGCGCTTGGAGGATCCATCCTCAGGGCGTCCTAGTCTCCGCCCTGGTGCCTGCCTGTAGGTCACAGACAGGGCCCTACTGCCTGCAGGGCAGCTTCCACAATGGCCCCTTGCAGGGTGGGAAGCTGGAGTCTGAGGGGGAAGAGAGCCTGCGCCGACACCAAACCCAGGTGCAAAGGAGACTGCGGCAGGCTCCCCATTTCCCCAGTGGCTCTGGCTGTCAGTAACTGGGCCACCCCCTTCTTCCTCTCCCCTACTTCTCCGCAGGGTATGGGCCCTCAGAGGCGGAGCTGCCAGTAAGGAGGGCAGGTGCCCTTTTCTCTCTCTTCTTAGGACACCCACCCAGGGCAGTGAGGGGCAGGGGCTGCCCCAGGAGCATCCTCGTTGGAGCACACAGCACCGAGGAGAGCAGAGGCATGCAGGATGCCCTTCCAAGGAGCCAGGGAAGACCCAGCCTAGCTCCGGCCCTCCCAGCCCAGGGGTGGCTCTCGGGAACTGTGGGAGGGACTTTGGGAGGAAGAGGCAGGGAAGGCACAGGGTGACTGGGCTTCTTTTTTTTCTTCTTTAGAAAAAACAAAAGGAAAGGGCGCATTAACATGAGGGAATATGCAGGCGTGGAGGGCCGGGGCCCACCCGGAGCGGCCACCGCGGTCAGATGAGGCCTGCTGCCTTCTCCTGCACATTGTACTCTTTGTTCCTCTTCACCCTCCAGCTGACGAGAAGCAGCAGCAGCGTGCCCAGCGCCTTGTAGCCCATCTGCAGGCCCAGGTACCTGTGGGCAGGTGGAGGCAGGGCCGGTGAGGGAGGGGCCTGCAGCCAGGTCCCAGGGCCAGGACCCCGTGGAAGAGCACTGGACTTCTCACACCAGCCCAGGGAACGTGTGGGCACTGCCCAGGGAGCTCACCTTCCTCTGACCCGAGAGAGGAAGGCAGGGAGTGGGCAAGGGACTCTTTGTCCAGTGCTCGTCATCCCTCTACCATCTCCCCCCAGAGGGCCAGAGGTGGCCCAGCTGCCCCAGCCAGTCCCACAGGGTCCTGTCCTCCCGATAGAGCCAGGGGAGAGTACTTTCTTTCCTCCTCTAGGCCTGTCCGTCTCCTGATCTCCACCTCAGCTCCTAGGCCCCAAGCCCGCCTTCCAAAGGCTTCTGGACCCTGTGATGACTGCAGCAGGTGAGGTGGCCGGAAGGTGCAGAGCTCAACAGCGCCACAGCTGAGCCTGGTCCATAGGTTGGGCCTCCACCTTGGACCTCCACCAGGAGGCTGATGGGAGCCCTCTACTTCTTTGAGCAACAGGAGGCTGGCCTCCATTATTCCACAGTCAAGGCCATCCTGGCTCTTCTTTCTGCTGCCACCCCTCCCAAGGGCCTACAGGGGCAGGACACCAGCCCTCTGGATCAGGACGGCTCTGGGTTCTGATACCTGGGTGGCTCCCCGTGGGCCCGGAACTGCCTGTTGTGTGACCCTGTTCCCTGTCCATGGCAGGGCCTGCAGAGAAGGCCCCTCCAGGCTTTTCCCTTCGATGCCTGCCACCCCCAAAATAGTCACTGGGCAGACAACTGCTCTCTGCTTGCCCAGGGCCTGGCCTCCCTGACACTCGTATGCTGGGGCCTGGGACCTGGCCTCCTTGACAGTCAGGTGTGCTGGGGACTGAGGCCTGGCCTCCCTGTCACTTGTGCATGCCAGGGTCCCCTGACCTGGACTTTCCGACACTTGTGCATGCTGGAGCCCGGGGCCTGGGCTCCCTGACACTTGTGCATGCTGGAGCCCGGGGCCTGGGCTCCCTGTCACTTGTGCGTGCTGGGACCCAGGGCCTGGCTTCCCTGACACCTGTGCGTGCCGGACCTCACCTGTTTCGGAGCGCGTCATTGTCATAGTAGGCGCAGGCACCCCGCCTCCCTGAGCACTGTGAGTTCCACCGGATGCAGGAGTAGTCGATGGTGAGGCCGTAGAGGGCTGGAGACGGCAGCCAGGCTGGCACAAGGGAAGGAGAGTTCAGAGAGCCTGGGTCACTGCAGCTGCAGGCGGGGTGCCCGGCAGGGTGGGGCCGAGCCCCCTGATGCATGCAGAGTTCACACCCATGAGAACAGCTCTAGCCTGCCCATGGAATCACAATGATGGTAGAAAGCAGGAAAGCATCCCTGGGAAGCCTGACTTTCTCCCTCCCAGGAGGCTTAGACGAGAAAACGGACCCGGCTGCTCTTTCAAGGCACGGTGAGTCACAGGGGTCACCTCGATGTCAGCTCAGACATCCGACGTAGTTCTCATACCTGACCCTGGTCCTGCATGGAGAGTACTGACCCCTCCCGTGGGGCGGGAGGATCTCGGGTCCTCACATTGGCCCAGGGGGTGGGTGCCCTCATTTTCGTGAGGAGGAAGGAAACTTGGCTAGCTCCCCGTTACGCAGCCAAGAGGGGCAGGGCAGGACCTTGAACCCTGCTTATGGAGGGTCATGAATCCCATCAAGCTGCCCTGTTCGGTTAGAAAATAGCTACCCCTGTTGGCCATGCCAGCAACTGAGAGGCAAGACCTGTCTTAGCAGGGGCCGGGCTGTCGCACTGTCACATATTCTAGAGGTCCCTTGCCCTGTCTCATTAGCCACAGCTGGGGAGAGTCACGGGCCTGGGCAGGGCTTGTCCAGGATTTACACCCAGGTTGGCCTGTCCTATTCTCAGAGCCACTGTGCTGAGAACAGCCTCCCAGACTGTCCAGGGCCCTGTGAGACGCTGCTTCCTGTGGAAAGACCATCTTTCGCTCATGGCCTCACCCATAAGTGGGAAGCTTCAAGACGCGGCCTCCTTGTTCAGACCCTGCTCACGCCCAAGTCTCCGGTGAACGGGGGCTGGAAAATGGCCAGAGGGATTGGCCTAGGACACTTCCCTAAGTAGAAACAAAGTCCAGAACATTCTCAACCCACCCCCAATGGGTATTGTAAACCTGTCAGTAGGAAGTCGTTTTTACCAGCCCTGGGTGGAGTTGTGTTCTTGGGTGATAAATCGGATCTCCAGGCCTGCACTGAGTTATCTGAGTTCAATGAAAAACCAAAAGCAGCAGAAGTCCGAGTAATGCGAAAGCTGTTTTCAAGGTCATTTTCAAGGCTGCTGGGGGCGGCAAGGCAGGGCTCTTTAGAGCCCATCCTAGCTGATGAGGGATGCAAGGTTTTTCTCCCAGCAGAAGCTTTAGGGCAAGTTAAAAATGACAAGTTAGGGCCGGACGCAATGGCTCACTCTTATAATCCCAGCACTTTGGGAGGCCGAGATGAGAGGACTGTCTGAGCCCACGGGTTCGAGACCAGCCTGGGCAACTTGGCAAGACCTCATCTCTACAATAAATCAAAAAAACAGCTGGGCGGGGTGGCACATGCTTATAGTTCCAGCTACTTGGAAGGCTGAGGTGGAAGGATCACTTGAGCCCGGCAGGTCGAGGCTGCGGTGGTGGTGAACACGCCACTGCACTCCAGCCTGGGCGACAGAGTGAGACTCTGACTCAAAGAAAAAAAAAAAAAGACAAGTTACAAATGAAAACAAGGAGCTGCAATGATAGCAGAGCCTCTCCCAGGAGTATGTGAGGATCCCGCTGCCCTGGGTCCTCTGTGTTTACGACTCATGCCAGAGGAGCACGGTCTGGAGGGGCTCAGAGGGCTCAGCGGGGACAGAGGACCAAGTGGCTGAGAAATCCCACGGGATAAGCTCACGTGCATCACCCACACCTCCCTAAAGGCTCCGTTCAGCCAGCCCTAGAGGAACTGGAAGTGAGAGCTGCCACAGGGTGAGGTACAGCACCCAAGGTCAGAAAGCATACCCGCCAGGCTGAGGTCCGCCCTCTGGACCTTCTCTTTCCTCCCCCGCAGCTTGTACACACTCAGTCCCTCATAAATACTGCCTCAGCAAAGTGAGGTCCCCTCACTTCTGTTCGCCTGTCACTGCAAGGATCTCCCTGTTAGTGCCTCATGGCATATCTAGTGCATGGATGCACCGAGAAGGGACAGTCCGCTAAGTAGTCCAGGGAGACTCCTCCTCTCCCCCAGGGAGAGTCCCCAAAGGTACTGGCCTTCCCTGTGGGACCCTGCTGACCCATTGGGTCAGTTTCTCAGGTGGGCTCGGGGCTGCTTGCAAGCAGCCAGGGTTCGCAGGTAGGGGGCTGCCCAGAAGACGCTTTTGCGGGACATTCACAGGTGTGAACTTTGTAAGATGGGAAGGAAGCCAGGGTGGACTCAGTGGCTGCTCTGGCGGTGGCAGGGCTGCAAGGTTGTGTTCTACAGCGACTTCTCCGAGAGAGATCTAAAAACGCCTGCCTTGCCGGGCTCGGTGGCTCAGCCTGTAATTCCACGCTTTGGGAGGCTGAGGTGAGTGGATTGCCTGAGCCCGTGGGTTCGAGACCTGCCTGGGCAACTTGGCGAGACGTCAACTCTACAATAAATCAAAAATGAGCCGGGCGTGGTAGCGCGTGCCTGTAGTTCCAGCTACTCGGAAGGCTGAGGCGGAAGGATCGCTGGAGCCCAGCAGGTCGGGGCTGCGGTGGCCGGGGGCGGCCACTGCACTCCAGCCTGGGCGACAGAGTGAGACTCCAACTCAAAAAAAAAAAAACCAAAACAAAACAAAAAAAACACGCCTGTCTTTAACACTCCACAGGGATCCTCGGCTGTGTCCACCCTTCTCTGTGGTCACGTAACTTAGGAATGGGTGACATCGAGGGGGTCTTTCCTAGCTGCAAGCAACCAGGCAGCCACCCACGAGGGGTTCTGGCTTCAGCCGCTGGGTATGCATGGCTTCCCTGCCCCTGCCCTGGCCTCAGATGCCCACAGCCTGGGGCTGCTGCTTAGACACTTACCCAGCAAGCGCATCAGCAAAAACTGCACCCCGATGGCAAAGGACTTCTCCTCCTGGTTCACCACACTGAAACGGGAGACAGGAACTCAGCGGTGGGAGGGTTGAGGGCTGCACCAGCCCTGGCCAGGGCAGCCGGCCCCGGGGGCAGATCAGAACTTGCCCTCTTGCGGCCTGGCTGACAGCCACCTGGCTGATGGGGATCACTTGGCTGAATGCGCCTGTTGTTTACAGCAGTGGTTCTCAAAGCATGATCCCTGGATCATCAGCAACCCTGGGAACTCATTAGAAATGTAGATTCTCTGACCCCACCCCCAGACCTACTGCGTCAGAAAGTTTGGGGCGAGACGGGCAGCAATCTGCTTTGCCAAGCCCTCCAGGAGATTCTGATGCAAGTTTGAGAACCACTGGTCTATGTGGTTTTCAGGGCTGCCCAAGCCCCCTTCAGGAGGCAGAGGATAGAGGAGGTGAGGGGTGGAGAGAAGGATGCTGGGGGGTGGGTTTACAGCAGCAGCCCTGAAAAACTCCCACAGTGTCTTGAACCAGTAAAAGATGGCCCTGGTGCACAGGGCCATTAGGGCCGCCAGCTGCGGGCTTCTGCACACACCCTACCGCGGGCCAGCTCTGTGGGCAGGTGGACTGTGAGTCATGCAGATTCTACCCTCAGAAAGGCCACATGCTGGCTGAACGCTTGGAAACGCTTGGAACACTTGGAAACCTGAAGCCTCTCCTTCTTCACACAAAATGGCTTCAACTCTGTCATCTTTCCCAGCAGGATTTGACTTTATATCATTTGGGGATGCTGAGGCCTCCTCTCCTGCCCCTGCCCAGACGCAGGAAGGGGAGCTTTTCTAGAAGAGCCCATGCTGTGGTTGGCACCATGCTCTGGTCTCCAGGACCACCTCTTCCTGGGGTTTGATGAGTCATCTGGGAAGCGAGTTGACAAAGACTGTCCTCCCCTGTGACATTCTCTTGCCCTGTCCCCTCCCTCTTCGTGGCCTCATGCAGAGGGTCCAGCTGACCCGGGTACAGGGAGAGAAGCCCACCAAGGTGTGAGTGAAGCATCCATGCCTGGAGGGCGCAGGATGGGGCAGCAGAGAAGAGAGTGAGCTTGGAGGGGGAGGCGGCATGCCGTGGGCTCCGGGCACCCCTGCACATCCTTGCTAAGAACGCTCGGATGCAGTGTCCTGAGTGTGCTCCCTGGGCTGTATCCCAGGGTGTGATTGTGCTGAGTGACCCTGAGGCATGGGTTAAAGCTTCCCCAGCACGAGCAGACTTGCTCCCTGCTCATGGTACAAGCATGGCTCTCCCACGCTCAGTGTTCCTGCAAAGATGTCCCCAGGAGAATAGGCAACACACCACGGGGTTCATGCTGCTTTCTGTGCCATAATAAAGTCCTCTGCTTTGACCTAGGACTCTCCTGTCTCCCGCCAGCATCCTCAAAACAGTGGCTTGGTAGCTTGCAAGCTAACTTGACAGTGAGCATGAAAATAGGGTAAAATCCCAGATGCCAGCAAGGGGCTATTTTGACTGCTTCCCCATCTCCTAGCCTTCGGGGAAAACAGAACCTAGTTAGCTGTTGTAAGAATAATTATTATTTGGTTAATAGTGAAGACAAAGCAATTCACCATAAAATTCTGACATTAATCTTGGGCCCGATAGCATTATTCCTATTTCATAAATGAGAAGATTGAAACTCGGTGAATTTAGTCAGCACTGGAGACACCAGCCAGTAAGTGGCAGAGCAGGGACTTCTGTGACCCTGGCACTAGGGGTACAAACCCTGACCACTGCAGAAAACTAGAGCCTGGCACAAGGGGACAGGCCCCAGCCCTAGCACTAGCGGTATGGGCCCTGACCCCGACACTAGAGACACAGGCCCTGACCCTGGCACAAGGAGCACAGATCCTGACCTTGGCACTAGGGGCACTGGCCCTGACCTTGGCACAGGCTCTGACAGTGGCACTAGGGGCACAGGCCCTGACCCTGGCACTAGGAGCACAGGCTCCAACCCCTCACTAGAAGACCAAATCCTGCTTTTTCTCCTCTGCTTGTGAACTAGGTAAGGATAGGAGGGAGGGCAGGGGGCGGAGTCCCGTGAACTCGGTTGAAATGTTGTTTTCCCCTTTGCAGTCAGGGAGGTGAAGGGAGGATCATTCCTTGTGAAAACCCTAGAGGCACTTCAACGTCAGCTGTAACTAGACACTTCTTCCCCTCCTGGGTGGGCCAGCCTCTCCCTTCCTGACCTGAGGACTTGGTCCTGGCCCCCAGCATGTGGGGCTTTTCTCATTCCCAGGCTTTTCCACAGCCCTCCCTCTGTCTCTGGAACTTTTCTCATTTTCCTGCTTTGCACGGTGGAGCCCGGCAACCCGGTTTCCATGTCCCTCCACTGGTCCTGCCATCCTGACCGAGGGATCCAGCCTCCTGGGCGAGGGTGGGGGTGCCAGCGAGCCTGGGTCACCTGGGCGCAGAAGGACCCCAGCACTGGGCCGGCATGGGCAGGGCTACCAGGTCCCAGTGTCCTCCCTGTTGCCAAAATAACCTTGCACAAAGGACTCCGAGCCCAGGCAGGCAGGGAACCTCGTGCCAGGAGGCGCCACTCACCGCAGGACCATCATGTAGAGAGGGTTGTGGGAGACGCAGGCTACCAGGGACACAAAGGAAATGAGGAAGATGGCCGGCAGCAGGAAGTGGGCACAGGGGATGGGGCACGGGCCCGACTTGGCTGACGCGGCTCCCCCGGTCACGCAGCTGCAGTTCAGATAGGTCTTGAGAGAAAAGGGGGGAATCGGTTATTATTTCACCTCCACACGCTTCAACCCCCAGGCGAGCTGGGTGAAGCTGGGGAGACCGGGTGAGGCTTCAAGCCCCGAGGTCCTGCCTCCGTTACTGGCTGCACAACGGAAACGATCTACCAGCACGGCTGCACCTGATGTCTAGGATCTCACCACCCGGCCTGGTGACCCCAGCTTGAGGTCAGGGACCCAGTGGCTCTCTCCCCTGGGCCAGGCCACCCTGGCCCCAGCAGTGGTGGTCTTGAAGGCTGTTTCTGCTATGCGTGCGTTTGTTGCAGGGGAAGGTGTGACTAGAAGGAGACCAGGGGGAATATGATGGAATCCTCCGACTCCGCGCCTGCCAGGTCTCTGCTGGAGCTCCCTGCCCGAGAGGGAGTCCTTCTGTGTGTAAGGGTCTCCTGAAAGGGAGACCCCATCTCATGTCTGCAAGTCCCTATAGCTCAGTACCGTTGTGCAACTCACTACGGGGGTCACTGCCCCTGTCTTGTGGTCTTCCCCTTCCATCGTTGCCCTTGTCTGATGGTCCAGCCTCTGACCATGTAAGTGTCATAGCAGTTACAAGGCCAATATTGGAACTAATGAACTAGTATGTTTCCTTCTACCAGACAGTGGGAACTATGCACCCCCTTTACTTTGGCTCCAGGAAGCTCAGAAGTGAGTTATGTACAATATTGCTGTGACCGTCCTCGATCTGGATTTTTTTTTTTTTTTAGTTGGAGTCTCACTTTGTCACCCAGACTGGAGTGCAGTGGCACGCTCCTGGCCACCACAGCCTCGACCTGCTGGGCTCTGGCGATCCTTCCGCCTCAGTCTTCCAAGTAGCCGGAACTACAGGTGCATGCTACCACGCCCGGCTAATTTTTTATTTATTGTAGAGATGGGGTCTCGCCAAGTTGCCCAGGTGGGTCTTGAACCCACGGGCTCAATCCACTCGCCGCGGCTTCCCAAAGTGCTGGGATGACAGGCTAAGCTACCAAGCCCGGCTGGATTTTTTTTAATATAGATTTTTTTTCTTATAGTTTACTGTTTTTTCTTGATATTTTACTAGTGGATGTTTGTCTGATATATTTATGTTGTTGCCAAGATTATTTCTGAAAGTAGACGAGTCTAAGTAAACAAAGATAAGAAAACCACAGAAGCCACCCAGACTCCTCCAACTGGAAGACACCTAAGAGCATCTTATCCAAGCTGCTCCTCCTCCCTCTGCCTGAGAAACACACTCCTGCCCACAGAGGTGGCCGTGGAAGCAGCCTTGCCCCGTCCTCTCAGAGGGTAGGTGAGTGGAACCTACTTGCCCATGCCCTCCAAGGCCTGAGGGAAAAAGGCACATGCCCCTCCCGAGGGCATCCCTACGGCGACCGCATACGGTGATGCCTCAGGGCTCAGGGCTTCCTCGGCCTACCTGCCCAGCTCTGGTCCCTGCCTGCTCCCAGGTCACCCGGGTGTGACACTCCCACGGGGCACCAGCCCTGGTTTTTCTCTTTGCTCACGTCTCACGCCTAGCACATTCAAGACCAGGCCTGGACTTGCACTCCCTTGATCTGGAATGCTTTGGTCCCAGGTGTTCCTAGGGTTTTCCCCTCCTGGTCAATCATTCTAAAGTCACCTCCACCAGGAGGGCCCCAAGCATTCCCATAAGTCCCTCTATGACATCGGTTACTTTCTAGAGCTCTCTGGTGCATTTACTGGATAGAATGCAAGCTCCACCTTGCCGGATGGGGTCACCACCAGATATCCTCAGCTCTGAGGCGCACGTTTTACTAAATAACTGGACAAGTGATGCAAGCTGGTTTGCTGCTGGCTGATCCTAGACAGCCCCGAGTCATAGAATGATGGCTAGGACCTCACCAAGTGGGCCAGAGGACACAGGCTGCCGAACAGAAGACCAGGAGAGACGTGGCCGTGGACAGACATGTCCCAGACTGAGCCAGGGCCCCAGGTTTTCATCCTAGTTTGCCCCTAAATAGCTGCATGACTTCAGGCCAGTCGTGTGGTCACACCTGGGAGCTAAGCGGTGGAACCAAATACCCTTGACCGTTGCTTCTGGCTCCAACTTTGCAGGCCCGTGTCACAGAGGTCCTCTGCCCTCGGTGTAGTTGGGCCAGTCCACGTGGCCTTGAGGCATGGCCAGGATGCAGGGCCCAGAGATGCCCACTAGGACCCGGAGGGGGCTCAAGGCCACGGCCGAAGGAGTGCTTTGACCGGTTTCTGCTCTGAGAACAATTAGGCCTCGAGAATATGAGTGTGTTGTCTGTGTGCTGTCTGCATCTGCTTATGACCTGAGGGAAGGGAGGTGGACAGCGGGTGGGCGTGGCCCAGGGAGGCTAGGATGCTGGTAGTGCGGGTACAGGGAACCAAGCCCATCCTAGAGCAGAGCCAGGGACCTGTGGGACTCCTCCCGCCTCTGGGACCCCAGTTGCCCTTACCAGCCGCCTGGGAGCTGAAGAGCTCTCGTTGAGGTCGCTGCAGCCGGCGTGGCATGGGGAGATATACTCTACCCCGTCGTCCCCACAAACCGGGTGGAAGACAGTGTCTGGGCACGAGCAGTCCCTGCGGCAGGCGGGAGGCGGTGGATGTACAGAACTCGATGTGCTGCCAGCAGAGTAGGAAGTCGGGAGTCAACAAAAGCCAGACAGAAAGAAACGCCGCACTCCGGCCCAGGGTGGGTCCCAGCCCCTGCACGTGCCTGTGCGGCTCTGTGTGTGTTGGGCCAGCGCCACCCTGGGGTCTCAGTGACTCCTGGCGGAGCTGGCAGTGAACTTGTCCCTGTTCAGTGACACGGCACCTCTTGGTTTCTTCTGCCACAGAGAGGAACCCAGATGCACCAAGACTCTGTTGGGAAGGCCTGGTTGGCGCACGCCCTGCTGCGTGGGAGTCAGGACTGCAACCAGCAGTCACTGCTAGGCCACAGGAAGGTTACGGACAGACTCTGCCTTTCCTCACCACCAGCCGGGCTCAGACTGAAGACAGGCTGGGGCCCCGTGAGGCCCTCTGGGCTCTGGTTTGCTGCCTGCCTCCTGGGTCAACGTAGACACTGCCCAGGTCACTCCATCCCCCGGGCTTCAACCCAGAGGGCTTCACGGCTGATCTTACGGTTACCAGCCCCCCCCACGGATGCTCATGACCTTCTTCAGGGAGGGCTGGGATAGCGGCTAACATACCACCCCCCAGATATTTCACGAATGATCATTAACATTCGCAGGGCATCTCTCGTGTCCGGGTGCTGTGCCCAGGGCTTTTCTTGCACCATCACCGTGATAAGTCTGCAACCAACTATTCGCCTTTTGTGGATGAGAAAACTGAAGCTCAGATGAGTGGTTTCCCTCAAGGAGTACAGAGCTCTGAGATCTGGGCCTGTCTGACTACAAAGCCGCATGCTGAACTTCCAGTGGAAGGCGCCAAACACATTAGTTTTTGGAGCTTCTTAAAAAACAGAACTCTAAGCCAGGCACAGTGGCTCACGTCTGTCATCCCAGCACTTTGGGAGGCAGCGGCGAGAGGATTGCCAGAGTCTAGGGATTTGAGACCAGCCTGGGCAACCTGGCAAGATCTCGTCTATACAATAAATAAAAAAATTAGCCGGGTGTGGTGATGCGCGCCTGTGGTTCCGGTTACTTGGAAGGCTGAGGCGGAAGGATCACCTGAGCCCAGCAGGCCGAGGCTGCAAGGGAAGGGAGCGTGCCACTACATTCCAGCCTGGGCAACAGAGGAAGACTCCAACTCAAAACAAACAACAACAACAAAAAACCAGAGCTCTCACCTTGATGACTGGTGGCCCCCTAGGACCCTCTGACCTCATCTCATCATGGAGCTTACTATTCAAGACCTGGTTTTCTAAGTCACCACGTTAGAGATCAGATCAAAAGTGAACGGCAGAGAAGAGAGTCGAGGAGGCTGGAAGGGGGATACACAGCGCTCCTCAGAGGGGGTACACCTCCATACCCCTCTCCCACTACCTGGGGGGGTACACTTCGGCCACGGTCGGGGTGGAGCAGCCCATGAAGAAGAGAGGGACACAGAGGAGCATGGAGATGGTGATGATCATGGCTGCCATGCGGGGGATGGTTTGCAGGGAGAGGATGAAGCGCTTCATGAGAACGCCTCCGAACAGCATTCCCAGGGCGGCGGCGGGGAGGTTGACAGCACCTGCGGGTGAGGAGGAAGAGGGGGTCTCGGTGGGCAGGCCGGGGCCTGCGTGAGGGCTGGACCGCCGGAGGGGAGCACAGCTCGGAGGGAACGCTTGCTGTGATCCGTTCCAATAGCCATTCCCTGAGCGTTCCCTGAGCATGTATCGTTGGCCAGGCGCCTCCAGCGTGATCTTGGCGTGGAGGCCTGACCTGCTTCTGCAAAGAATAAAGCGGGGCCCTTGCAGCCCGAGGATGCGGGTTGAATGTGCATTTAGGAAGCGCCTTTCCGTCCTCGGGCTCTCGCTGCATCCTCCCTGGGACCACATGCAAGAGTGGTCCCAGGCAGACCCTGATGTCCCAGGCAGACGCGGAAGGCCAGAGGGCTGAAATCATACCGAGGGCCGCAGTGGGGGTACAGGGGAGTCCCCTTCAAATCCCGTGCATGACCACCCTGCCAAATCCATCTGGTTAAGCTCATCTGAGGGTGGGGCTTGGGTACCTGGTGGGACCCTCTCAGTGGCTCTCAACCCAGCCGGAAAATAGACTGCTGCTGGGTTCCACTCCAGAGAGCCTGGGTTCAAGCATCTAAGGCAGGGCTGGACATCTGTGATTTGTCAGCTTCCCCAGAGAAGCCCAGGGGGCAGCCCGGCAGAGACTCACTGGGCCACATACGTGAATCAAAGCAAATACATTCAAGTCCCAGGAGAAGAAAGAAGGAAAACACCCAGGGGGGCACTTTGACCCCAGATCCAGCCCTCTCTTTCCTCTGTTACCCCTGATGACGTCAGGGCCTTCGGGAAGCTGTCAGCCCCTTGATGGGGAGGGAAGCAGCCTCAGTCCTCCACCCAGTCCTGACTGGAAGGACAGGAGTCCCAGAAATCTGCCAAGAACATTCTAGATTGCCAACCAGGAAAACTGTCCTTAAAATTCTTTCGCCTGGGCAGTCCTCCCCCGGCTCCTGTCTGCGTCCGGTCTGGCCCTTGCCTGTCCCTGGATGGGCATCCCCCAGGCGAGCCACCGGGCTCCTGAGACGCCCTCGGGACTCACCGATGAGGAAGTTGGCGTAGGCCGCGGAGGCACCATACTGCTTCTCCAGGAACTTGTTGAGAAACGTGGAGAGGCCAGCAATGACGGAGGAGAAGGAACACTGGGCCAGGACCACCAGCATGAAGAGCGGGCTCATCAGAAGCCTCAGGAAGATGCGAGGAAACCCTGCGAACAGACTGCCGTCAGGGGCTGGGCCTCTCTGCAGCAGCCATCTGGGGGCAGCCCTGCCTCGCCTTCTCCTTCCAGGCAACTCTCCTCTCCCTCGGGGCAGAAGCTGAGGCACCAAGAGAGTCCATGGCCAGTCTAGGGGCCACACGGCCACTCGGACGGCCATTCCATGTGCTCAGGGGCTGAATGAAACACGGTTGTGCATCCAAGAAATCAGGTACTGGGTGGATAGAAATAGGGCGAGCACCAGAAACAGCATCCTCACATGACCACCCACCCTCGACATGAGTGCAAGAGGAATGCAGGGACCTCGTGGTGCCTGTGAATCAGGGTCACCAGGACCCCAGCAGACCCCTTCTGAGCTGCAGCTCACCTAGGAGATGGGTTAGTTACAGGTCACCTCCCCACACACGGCACCATGTGGGCTGAGGTCCCTCCACCGCCCTCACCCTCAGCCAGCCCACCCACGGCCACCGGGCCAGCCAGTTACGTTTAATGAAATCCACCAGGGAGCCTCTGGACTTGACCTCCTCCAGCTTGATTGCTTCGTCCACTATAGCAGGAGAACTCTGAAGGCGGCAAAAGGGGTGGGTGTGAATGGCCCAGGCTCGCCACCCCCCATGCCCTGGAGTCTCTGGTCTCCTCGGAGGTCCAGGCTGGGCAAAGGTGAGCTGTCCCGGGTGTGCGTGCCTGGGAGTGCAGCCAGAGATGCTCTCCTGAAGCAAACACCAGCTGCACTTCAGTGAGCCCGGCGCTTTGGCTGACGGCCATGCCGGTGCCTCCCACGATGCCTACGGGTATATTATTTCATATCTAACTCTCCCACGACTGATGCCAAAGGTGTCTTCCTGGGCCCCAGCCCTTGTCCATCTGCCACGGCCACCCTTGTCCCCTGCCGTCAGATTCCATGGGCTACTGGTTTCCGCGGGTCTCTGGTCTCCAAGCCCCGAACCCTCTTTCTGCCTATATTTTCTGAGGTCCTCGCTTCCTCCTGAGCCCAAAGACAGGTCGTGCTCAAGGTCCCGTCCTTACCTGCACTCCCTGGACAAACTACCCTGGTGAGTTGGCCTGTCTCTTCTCGCCTTGTCAGCTCCAGCCTGCTCTGAACGACCCCTGGCTCTGAACGACCTCACAGATGCAAAGGTCCAGCTCCGACACCACTGGACTCCTCCAAAACTCACTGCCAGGAAGGGGCTGGCCCATTCAGTGCCTGCTCAGAGTTCCACAGGCGTCCTCTCATTCTTCACAGTCTCCCTCCCAGACAGGCCCTCTAAGCATCCAGAACTCGTAAAGAAGAGAAAGCTTAGGAACAGAGAGACTTAACTAAGACCACTCGGCTAGTCTATTTTTACAAACTTACTTATTATTACTTCTGGAGATGGGGACCAGGCTGGAGTATTGTGGTGCAATCATAGCTCACTGCAGCCTTGAACACCCAGACTCAGGAGATCCTCCTGCCTTGGCCTCCCAAGTAGTTAGGGTTGCAGGCACATGCCACCACACCCAACTAATTTTTTTATTTTTATTTTCGCTGCCAAGGATGGCCTGAAACTCCTAGACTCAAGCAATCCTCCCACCTCAGCCTCCCAAAGTGCTGGGATTACAGGTGTGAGCCACTGCACCTGGCCAACTCAGCTGGTTTGTAGGTAGCAAAGCTTCATTTAAACCCAGGTCTGCCTGTCCCCAACACTCCCATGACATGCTGCCAACCTCTGAAATTCTTCCCCAAGGCAAGCTGAGATCTCCTAGCCCTGCTACCCCCCACAACTGGGCCTAGGCCTCACACACCTCACGGCCAAACACTGAGCTCTGTTTTTAGCTCAAAGCCTCGTTGCAAACTTCTCCTTCTTCTCCTCCACCCCAGCTCCCGGCTGAGTCCTGGGCACCCACCCAGGGACGCCTGGCTTGTCCTTGCCCTGTTGCAGCTTCCGACTGCCACCGCTGCACTCCCTGTCTCTCACCCAGGCTTTTGCACGGCCCTCTTTAAGCTCCAGCCTTCATTCCTTCCCGACTCCCCAACCGAGCCGCCACGTTGCCACCAGAGTGGCCACCCGGCTGCTGCAGTGCCCAGAGCGTCACAGGATGGGAGCAATCTTGAGACCCTTCGGCCTAACACCAAGCCCCCGGCTCAGGCCTCTCTCCCTGGTTTCCCATCCCCTCCCTTCCCTAATCCCTTTCTGCACCAGATGTGACTGGAAGACACTTGGAAGGCCTCCCTCGCGGCCACCTGACACTCTTCAGCACCAGGAACCCCTTTCCATGCAGTCCCTTCTGGTTCAGACACTCATAGGCCCCGGTAAATACAAAATCGACTGCACAGATTCGGCTTGTCTTGGCTCTTAACTCTCTAGCCCAATTTAGATGAACTCAGTGTTTCCCAAACTGTATTCCTGGGGTCCCCAATCCTCAAGACGCTAACAAGGCAAGTGGACCCCAAGGAGACGCCTCCTTTGGGAAATTCAGTGGCACCCTCGCCTCTCAAAGCCTCTGAGAAGTCCTGCGTCATGGAATCTGTTAGATAGAGTCCCGGGCGCTCAGAACCTTACCTTTGCTCCTCTGGGCATCGCTCGAGGAAAGAAAAAAAAGGGGAACGAGGTGAGAACCAAGAAGGCTGAAGAAATGAGCAGGCCAAGCCACCAGGCTCCAATCCATCGGGGGTCACCTGGGCTCAAGTTAACTGCAGCTGAAGAGAAACCGAAGGACGAAAGTGTTTGTTGAGTGAACGCATGATCTCACCTTCATGGAAAGAGAACCTCTGATCAGGGGAGTTTTATTGACTTTCTTCCCACGAGAGCGAAGAGGCAGGCTGTGAGCTAGAACCTTGGTCAAGATTCCTCTCCAGGCCATTCTGGTCTTTTCAGAGAATGGAGGCCACTGCACGTGAAGCAGAGCAGCAGAAAATCCCAAGGCCGAAGGGTGCAAGGCCTTTGCCTCACCTTATTCCACTCCTGGCCCTTGGCAGGGAAAATAATGAAGGGAGCTGACTCTCACAAGGGCTTCCCGTGGGCCAGGCCTGTTTTCCATGGGTTCTCCTAGCAAGTCTGTGAGGTAGGAGGTCTGTCTAGTCACTCTAGCCATTCAGGAAACTGAGGACCTATGGGGTTAAGTCCCTTGGCACAGGTGACGGCTAGTGAGTGTCATGTCAGGGGTCAGTTTCAAAACTATGCCTTCCCAGTGCATACACCTGCCCTCTTGACCATAGAACTCTGCCTCCCAACTTTATCGACAACTAACAAAGGAGGCCGTAGGATTCTCAGAAGCCTGATGAAACAGCCATCAACTGCCTGGCCCCCAAAGGAGAAACCTCCTCCTGGCAATTCTCCTTCGCACACCTAAAAGTCAGCCATTGTGTTTCTCTGAGTAAGGAAACTACCCAGGCACAGAGGGAGGGAGGAGGTGGCAGAATGCTTCAGTCAAATGATGACAGTCAAACAATGGTCCCTGGACACTGTCGTGGGTGGACTGGGGGCTCAGTTCCTGGTCTTTTGGGGCAACCAAGAGCCAGGAACCAACTCAGGAAGTACCAGCAAAAGGACAAAGATGGCTTGATCCTGAGGCATAAAATTTCCCGTGGCTTTCCATTTTCTTTCTTTTTTTTTGTTTTTGAGTTGGAGTCTCACTCTGTCACCCAGACTGGAGTGCAGTGGCTGCTCTCAGCCACCGTAGCCTCGACCTCCTGGGCTCCAGTGATCCTTCTGCCTCAGCCTTCCAAGTAGCTGGAATTATAGGCACGCACTACCATGCCCGGCTGATTTTTTGATTTATTGTAGAGATGAGGTCTCGCTGCCCAGGCGGGTCTCGAACCCGCGGGCTCAGGCAATCCACTCACCTCAGCCTCCCAAAGGCGCGGGATTACAGGCTGAGCCAATTTAAAGTACAGACAGATGGCACCACACAGATGACAGTGTGGTCCGACAGCCCTGGAGACAGGAGTCTAGGCTGCAGCAGCATGGCTGTGTTTAGCACTTGCCCAGTTCTTTGTGAGATGGGCAGCCAAGTGCTGGTGGGCGTGCTCTTCCCAAGGGTCTGGCTCAGCTTCCACCCACACTCCCTACACTCTCCACACTTGTGGCTGTGCTGGGGTGATTTCCTTCACCTAGGAAGGTCTTCCCTCCCATCGCTACCTGTGGAAATCCCACCCAGCTGTCAAGGCTCCATGAAGGCATCACTTCCCCAGGAAGCCTTCCCAGATTACCTCATACAGGAATAATCGCTCCTGCCTTTGAACCTCTACAGCACTTTGCCTGTCCCTCTGCTACAGTACGGACCTACCCTGTCGTGCGGGAGGCTGGTTGGTGTAGGAAACTCTCACAAAGGCAGCAAGCCCTTGCTGGATTCACCCTGTGGCTGGCTCCTTAAATGATCAACTCAGTACTCATGCGTGTGTCTACAGGGATCTCATTCTAAGATGGACAGTGACTTAGTCCATGCCGTGTTTTTGAAGAACATGTGCTCACACCTATTCATCTCTTAATATATACATGGAGGCATGTGCTCATCTTTATAGTAACTCTATTTTACTATCATTAACCCCATTTTACAGAACAGGAAACTGAGGCACAGAAAGATGCAGTCCCTTGCCTAAGACCACTCAGCTAGTAAGAGGGGGAGCATGGGTAAGCACGATGTTAACCCTTCAGCTATCATCCGTGTGTATATTTTATATAGTGTTTCTTTTTCCCACAAAAGAGCTCCATTACATTTTTTAAAAACATCAGCAACGTCTTAGAATCAAAGAGCCATTTTTAACGCCACCACCAAGCTGGGCCACCTTGTGGCAACCCTCGAGTTCCTGCCCCCGGTGCCAAGGCTTCCCCTGCAAGCTCCTTGGAGCAGAAAGTGCATTGCTTCAGCAGCTCATCCTGCAGTGGGTGGCATGGCCCTGTGAGAGAGGCAAACATTGCCACTCTCTGCTGCCTGAGGGTTGGCAGGGAGGTGCCAGTGAGCAAAGAGGTGGCCACGGGCATTGGAACTGAAACTCCGTTCTGTGCCCCGATTGTGTGGGAGCTGCTTCGTGGATCTGGGGATGGGATGGGTGCCCTCTGCGCACACTCACCTGTGTTGACCCTGCCATAGTCCACGAAGATTTGCAGCATCACAGAGCCCAGCAGGTACCCAAACGCCGGTCCAAAGACAGAGATGGCAAACAGGATGGCTGGAATTGGGAGCACCAAAAGGAGGCTGAGGGAGGTGAGAAGGCCTCGGCAGCCCCAAGAGCTCACTGGAGGGCAATGCCTGAGCTGCCTATCTGTCCCCAGTTCCTCACAGGCCCACATGCTTGGCATCTCCCCCAGACAAGGCCAGAATTGCAGACCCAAGACGTGCAGACCCTCCCGCCAACCACCAGGGAGACCTGCTTGCTGGGAAGGAGGTGGCCTCTGTGGAATTTTAAAATGCCAGCCCAGGGGTGTGCTGATGGGTGACATTCCCTCTGGGGATGCTGCTGGGGACCCTGGCGGGAGCCTGTGGGTAGAACCTGCCGACTCTGGGACACTGTCCTGAGGATGCTCCCAGTGGCTTGTTCTGAGGAAAGGGTCAGACATTCAGATGGTCACTGCATGGGCTGTGCAGGGGCTTCTGTGAGGCCAACCTGCCCCTTGGCAGGTGACTGAGAGACAACAGGTGTGTCCTGGGCTGGAGACCAGGTGTGTCCTGGGCTGGAGGCCAGGAGGACTAGACAGCCTCAGCAGCTGCTGCTGGTTTGGGGGTCTACACTAAGCGGTTACACACATCAGCTCTTGGACCCCACAACGCCCAGATGCCAGCTTGCTCTGCAGGGGGAGGAGCCAGGCCCTGGGGTTCAGCTGCTCGGGCCATACAGCTGGGGTGGTGGGACCGGCACCTGGCCGGGCCCGTCTGAACCCCAGCCTGCTGCACTCATTTGCTGGGTTGTGGGCAGAGAGGGGCAGACCTCACTTTAGCCCCCAGGGTCTCAGCAAGTGCCACACCAGGACCCGACCACTGCCCCATGCCCTCTTCAAGCCCTTGACTCACAGATGTACAGGGGCGAGTTGCTGGGCTCGGAGAAGTCGTCCACGTAGGAGATTCCAAACGGTTGGATGGGCACCGTCCCGATGCCGGCCAGCAGCTGGGCAACCACCATAAGGCCCCACATGCTGCTGGTCTCCTTCCGGGGGGTCTGGGTGGTGCTGCGGCATTTACTGGGGGGCAGATCCTGCCAGTGCTTCTGACAGAGCTCGGCCTGCAAGCGGCTGTTGTTCCCTGCAACGAGAGCGCCCGCTGGCCTCACCACCCTGGTCTCCTGGTTCTTCCAGCGGGCCTCCAAATCCGAACCTTCTCCCCGGTCCCTCAGGGAAGGGCCGACCCGCGCCAGAGGCTGTGCTAACAAATGGGACATCGTCCCTGAGGACCACCTCCCTCTGCTTGGCTAGCCAGAGGGACTCTAGAAACAAAGGTGAGCGAGGGTGGAATGTGGGCTCCCCGGTGCCAGGAGCGCCCCTTCTGGGGATGGGGGAGTCTTCCTTCCGTGGGCATCCACGCTGTCTCCTTTGGGCACCGGTGAGAGCTGAGCGTGGAGGTACCAGTGCCTCCATTCCTGGAGGAAAGGGTCGCCCAGCTGGAAAAGGGGGACCCTGGATCTAAACCAGGCCATCAGCCTTGGGCACCCCTGTGCCCAGCTTGGGGCTCTGGGCCCCAGGTTTCTTTTCGGCAGGAAAGAGGTAGTTTTGTCCCACGGGGATGGCATCCCCTCCAGCCTGGGCTGCATACAGAGCCCTGACTCTTTAATGAGCCCAGCACCGGGCCACACTAGAGGATCTACTGCCAAGGACAAGTAATGTCCTCACCATACCTGGGCGCCTCCCAAGAATCCGAACTTCTAAAGCTGGAGGGACTCTGATCCTCTCACACTACAGATGGGGCAGCTGAGGCTGCACCCAAAGGAGCCAGGCTGCACCTCGAGGCCCTTCTGGGAGGTCCCAGCCACCCTGGGAGGGAGGGCCCCTGTGGTTCCTGCGGCGATGGCCCTCGCCAGCCTGGGAGCTGCTTCCAAGCCTCTGTTTTTAATCTGGCCACACGAAGCACTGCCAGGTCTCCAAGGGGTTTTTGAGGACTCCTTTCTGCCAGAAGAGTCCTTTTCTCCTGCCTCATCTGGGCCAAAGGAAACCACGGACCTCACCGATCCCACTCACTTAACACTAGTGGGATCCAGTTGAATTCCCCCTTGTGGTGCTCCCAGAGGAGGCATGGCCCCGAGCCAGGTGGGCCCAGGTCCCACGGATAGGAGAACTGAGAGCCGCAGCCCGGGTCTGCTGCTCATGCTGCACTCTGCTCAGTGCTGTTGGGCTCAGGACTGCCCTCTCCCTAGATGCACATGCCTTGTCCAGCCTGGCCCTGCTGCTTTCTGTCCTCTATGCTGGTGTCCGTACAGGACACATTTGAAGATTGCTGGCCTGGGAACTCCCCATCGGTCAGAGAGGCCTGTCCCAGGAAAGGCAAAGGGAGCCAGGGCATCTCTGTCTGGTCAAGGTCATCTAGACCCTAGAGCTGCACCAGTCATGCACAGGGGACAGAGCACCCGGACAAGCAGCTAAGGACTGTGGCCAGTGTCCCTGGGGACCTGCCTCTCCCAATCCATACTCATTATCCCGCCTCTCGGTGCAGAATTTAAGTAGAGTGGTCCAACCACATGGTGATGTAACCGCCTTTCAGAATAGGGTGAGAACAGAGCCTTATTTACATGGAATGACAGTGGTGGCATCTTGTCAGATTCCAAAAATAACCAGCAGTTTGGAGAAGACTATGATCCCTCATTTATAAAACGTACGTGAACGAATTGAATATGCAGAGAAAAGCCCTGGAAGATGGTAGCCCTTTCTGGTGACGAGATTATACCAAACCTGCTTTGTTTGTCTCGTTGTATTTTGTTATTTTTCAGGAGTGAGCACGACACTTTTGGAATATAGCAACACAGTTCTTAAATTTGAAAGTTCTCATAGGCTGGACGCAGTGGTTCAACCCTGTAATCCCGGCACTTTGGGAGGTCGGGGCGAGAGGATTGCCTGAGCCCGGGGTTCGAGTCCAGCCTGGGCAACTCGGTTGAGGCCTCGTCTCTACGATAAATTTTTTAAAAATTAGCCAGATGAGGTAGTGGGCGCCTGTAGTTCCAGCTACTTGGAAGGCTGAGGTGGAAGCATCACCTGAACCCAGCAGGTAGAGGCTGTGGTGGCCTCAAGCGTGTCACGGTGCTCCAGCCTGGGTGACAGAGTGAGACTCCGACTCAAAAAAATAAGATAAAATAAAATAAAAGTTTTCATAAATGAACATATCCAAACTATCACAGTATCTCTCCCATTTCTCATTTCTTGGCCTTCCCTCTGGTCTGGGTTCCAGGCCTGCTGCGCTGGGTCTTGCCACCTCTCCCTGCAGTGCTATGTCTTTCTTTCATTTCCAGGCTCTGTTGTGGAGCCCCACGTTCCAGCACCAGAATTCTTAAGCTTCCATTTACCGACTGGGCCAGGCCCTGTGCCAAGGCCACGATACACTTCCCTTGGCCTGCCCCAGCAGCTGATTTGGGGCAGAGCTGGCATTCAGACCTTCACGTGTCTGACTCAAAGCCCAAAGTGAAGTCAAGTCTGGACTCTGAAAGCGTAGCGGCTTTGAAAAGAGAGAACAGCCATGTTGCAGGGACTGGGGAGAGGTTTGGGGACGATTCCTCCATCCCCAGCCACATCCAGATGCGTGAACTCTCTGACCTCAGGGGGAGGTGTCCTGAGAAGGGTTGGCTGCCAGGAGTTTTGCTGAAATCTGAGACAATACGATGAAATCAACACAGTAGAGGGAGTTAAGAAACTGATTTATCCCCAGGTGGCTCTGTGAACTTGAGCACGTTTCTAAGACTCTCTGGTCCTCAGTTTCCCTGGGGGCAGAGATCTCAGGTAGCTAGATAGGCAGATTTCTTGTGGGCCTGTACAGAGCTAGAAGGCTGCTTCCAGAAAGAAGATGGAGCATGAGAGACTGGACCGTCCAGCCCATCAGGCACTGGTGACAGTGCCTGCCTTCTTGAAGGAAGGCCTTTGTGGCTTAGTGATGCTGCAGAAATCTCGCCCTCAGGACAGTCACTTGTCTAGTAGCACAGAATTACAAACTCTCCTGCAGAGAGAAAATCCACAGTGGCTACCTGGTCTACCTGCCACCCGGCTCAGGAACCCTGCTATCAACACTGACTGTGTCCAATGCCCAGGGTGGTACTGACAGATACACAAGGATCCCCAGGGAAGGCCTGGGTGGCCGTGAGGAGGTAAGGCCAACAGATGTTGGAAGGGCTGGACTGGGGGTCCAAGACCCAGGTTCTAGTCCTCAATTTGTGGCTCCCTTTATTGGTGACCTTGACTTTAAAAGACCTCAGAGGATTCCAGGAAGGGACTAAGCACAGCAGAAGGTGAGAGCTTGGTGTTGGGCCAGGAAGGCAGAGTGCTGGGCTCACTGGTCACTCCCCAGCACAGCCACCGGCCAGGACAGTCTGGGCTGCCACCCTGGGTGAATAAGTGTTGACACGCACAGACCATGCTGGTCTTTAGAGCAGGGGTCCCCAATCCCTTGGGTCACAGACCAGTGGCCTGTTCAAAGCCGAGCTGCATACCAGGAGGTGAGGGGCAGACAAGTGAGTGAAATTTCATCTGTATTTACAGCAACTCCCCAATGCTTGCAATACTGCCTGAGCTCTACCTCCCATCAGATCAACAGCACCATTAGAGTCTCATAGGAACACAAAACTTATTGTGAACTGTGCGTGTGAAGGATCTAGATTGCACACTCCTTATGAGACTCTGATGATCTAAGGTGGAGCTCAGGTGGAGATGCTAGCACTGGGGAGTGGCTGCAAATACAGATTAACATTAGCAGTGGGGTTTGATTGCACAGAGACCGTAGTCAATCAATTGCTTTGCAGACTCATATCAAAACCGTATCAGTGAGTGGCAAGTGAGTTGATGTACTTCAATGGTACAGCTGCATCGGTGGCAGGCTTTAAGTCAGAATCCATCACTTATTTTAGTCTGTGTGAGGTGTGCTTATTATTTTACTTACCAATTCTGTTCTACACCTCTTTTCTGCAGTGTACAGTCATCATAGTTAGTTTTGGTAAGCCCACAAGCTAATCCTAGCCAAAATGAGTGAAAAACAAATGTCACTGGAGAGCTTCTCTGAAAAGGGGGAAGACCCAATGATGAGACAGCAGAAGACTCTAAGTCTGCCAACAAAAAGAAAGCTGCATTTGAAAGAAAAATACCACTTCACTTTTGATGGGCAGCATGGTTGGTTTCATGTTTTTGCTACTATGAATAATGCTATAATAAACATGTGTGTGCAGGTGTCTTTTTTGTAGGATGATTTGTGTTCCTCCAGGTATATTCCCAGAAGGAGGATTGCTGGGTCATATGGAAGGTCAATTTCTAGATCTTTTAAAAATCACCACACTTTTTTCCATAGTGTTTGAGCTAGTTTATGCTCCCACCAACCTTGTAGAAGCCTCCCCTTTTCTCCATGTCCTTGCCAGCATCTATTGTTTTTTGTTTTATTAATAATGGCCATTCTTACTGGTGTTAGGTGATACCTCAATGTGGTTGTGATTTGCATTTATCTGGCGACTAGTGAGTTGAGCATCTGTTCATGTATCTACTGGCTGTCTGTATGTCTTCTTTTGAGAAATGTCTACTCAGGTCTTTTGCCCACTTTTGAATAGGGCTGTTTGTTTGTTTGTTTTTTCCTTTCAGGCCATTTGAGTTCCTTGTAGGTCCTGGATGTTAGGCCTCTGTCAGATATAGTTGGCAAATATGTTTTCCCATTCTGTGGGCTGTCTTCCCGCTCTCTTGATGGTTTCTTTTGTTTTGCAAAAGCTTTTCAGTTTTATGAGGTCCCACTTGTCTATCTTATCTCTTACGACATGGGCTTTTGGGGTTTTGATCAAGAATCGGTTACCTATTCCCATGTGCATATATTATGCAGCCATAAAGAAGGACAAAATTATGGACTTTGCAGCAAGTTGGATGGATTTAGAATCTATCATACTCAGCGATCTATCTCAGAAACAAAGAACTGAGTACCACATGTTCTCACTCATAAGTGGGTCCTGAACATGTATCACGATACTACAAGAGAGGGATCAGCAGTGGGATCAGCAGTGTCAGGGGAGGGAGGGAGAGGGGGACACATAGCATCACTAAGGGTATTTGATCCTAAACCAGAGAAACTGAGAACCAGTG